TATTAAATTAGCACGTCTTCGATGGATAGGATATGTAATTAGGCGAGATGAAGGTGCAACGATCAGAAAAATTTTCGATCGAAGAGGACCAGTAGGAAGACGAGCCAGAGGAAGACCAAAACTTAGGTATCAAGATAACATAGAGGATGATCTAAAATCCATCCGAGTTAGAGCATGGAGAAGAGTTTCCAGAGACAGGGGCGAATGGAAGATTGTTCTGAAGACGGCTTTGGCTCATAACGAGCTCTTATGCCATGATGATGATGATAATGTCGAATGTAAGGCGAACTAAGAAAGCCATTAAAAATAACAATTAAAAATTACAGTTATGTGAAAATTAGGGAAAATCATTCACTACGAATAACTACTTCGAATATTATATTATTCAACACAGATAAATAAGACTTAAATCGCTTGAGACGTGCCTCCTATTTGGAGATCCTGTACGAAATTTGCAGTCGTAATGAGGCAAAGATTTAAAAGAGGAGTCAAAAAATGCTTTATATATCTATCTATAGCCCAAAATCTATTCATGTGTTGAATAAAGGCCTCTCCCATTTGTCTCTCCATTTGTCTCTGTCTTCTGTTTGTCTTTTCCACATTGGATCTGCGCTTTGCTCAATGTCATCTTTCCATCTCATTTGCGGTCGACCTCTTGACCTTTTTGCAGTATATGGTCTCCAGCGACCAATTTCTTTATTCCATCTTCCATCCTGATATCTTTCATTATGTCCAGCCCATTTCCATTTTAATTTCAATGCATGTTCGACAGCGTCTGTTGTTTCGGTTTTGCATCTTATCCACTCATTCCTCTTTTTATCTCTCAACGATATTCCTAACATTTGTCTTTCCATAGATCTTTGAGTTTTCTTTATTCTATCTAAGTTGCTCTTGGTACACGTCCACGTCTGGCACCATATGTCAGAACAGGTAGGACGCATGCATTAAATACCTTCGTTCTTAATTTTAAAGGTATTCTTTGATTTTTGATAGTATATGAGAGTTTTCCGAATGCAGCTCACTCCATTCTTTACGCCATTCACCCCATTCATATAAGACACACGAAAATTAAAAGGATATTCTGAGACAATTCAATATCAGGATACCAAATTCCAAAGATAAGACTCCCAAAAGGATAGTGTTACGTTGTTCTGTGGGTTCCACGATTAAGTGAAGTAAGACGTGGTTTATCTAACTTTATTTAACTCAAAAACTCTCTTAATTACAAATACTACAATGACTGATTACATTAATAATGATTGGTTAGGAAACAATTCGCACTAATGCGTATAATAAGGAGAACGAAATGTTATGGAAAACAGTTTACTGGGTGACGAGAACATCTCCGCATGGATAGAAACAGTTCGTGGAATATTTTGGCGGTGGTAAGAGAATTCTGGACGTTGCTAAAGCACAGGGCCGCAGTCAGAGGTATGTGACATAACAACAGTAAAATATTATACCTGTTAAAAAAGGTAGCACACAGAAAACACATACCTAAGTGACTTAACGTAAAAGAAGAGAAAATGACAAATTGTGACAGGGCCACATTTTGAACAGTATTGTTACCTAAATATTTATTTATTTTCTTAAGTTTCACTTTAGTAGAATCTTTCAAATTCTACTGTTAAAAAAAAACATAAAAGAACGTCAATGTAAAAAGGGGACAAAAAGTGCATACTCAACCCCCTAGCTCCTAAACTCCCTATGAAATTAGAGATTATTACGACTAAGGTTATAAAATATTTTTTTTACTTTACATGTATGTACGTTTATTTGTTATTGTAATAAATAACTTGCATTTATTTATGTTAATACGAAGAAAATATATCTACTAATTAATAATTCATAAAACATTAGAAGCATAGCGATTTAATTTAAAAATGTACAAATTAGTGGTAAGATAAGGTTAATCTACGGCCATTATCAGTCAAAAAACTTATTTCTAAAATCTCCCTACCCACTGCTAAGTCCACAAACTATATTGATTACTTAAAAAGCTGTAGATTAAAAAATCCTTTGAGTCGCCAAAAAAATTAGTTCGGTACTGTTTAATGTCCCGGTGATGAGTAAACAGATGAAAAATATCTTACGGTAAAGTTCACGTTAGTTTAGTGGCACAGTTTATATTATTTTCAACAGGAGGCAGTTAGTCGCCATAACATCTGTGCGTTTGTGATGGTTTGTCTAAAAAGAAGCTATGTTTGCCGCCACGCGTTTTTCCTCGTCATAAAAAAAAACGAGAAAATCGTCATAAAACTGGTAACATTATTTTAAGTGCATCTCTGATTTAAGAGCTTCTGGTAACTGGTAACAATTACACAAGAATTTGAGTTATTTGTAGAACAAAGTAAAGGATAGAAGTGTCAAATGAGTGAAAAAAATTAAGGATCTATACCAAGATTATTAATTTACCTGTTATATACATGGTTTTCTGTAATTTAACAGATTTGTCTATAATTCGTAGATTAAAGACCATCACCGTTTTTTAGTTATCTATAAATCTTACTAAAGTGAAGTACTTTAATATGTAACGGTACGATTTAGAACTTTAAGTGGTCCACTGTATTTACTCTCCACTTTTTTTAAACTTAACGCTGCGCTGATTTGCGTTTAACATTGTTGGTCACTTCATCAGGAATAACCTGACACCTGAACAATGTCTGCAATTTGTGTAGATTTACTTAAAAAAACATAGCTCCGTTCGTGAAATGCATCGCGCCTTAGGCCCATTTTGTGATCGACTTAACTGTCCATCACAGCAATTAATTCGATTAACGATGAAATGTTTTTGCCGTTACATCCGGAAAAACTGACTGTTTACTGTGCTTTATACGCTAATGGAATCAACGGTCCGTACTTTTTATCGATATCGTCTGATCCCAGAGGACTCCGTTTAGTATCGATATTGCTCTCCTATCTCGTATGTTTCTGTATAGTATTGTATAGCCCAGTGTGCCATAATTTTTGTTATATGTAAGCCTAGATGCTTATAGTTTTCACAAGGCCTGATGTGTTCTACACTTTGTAATATTAGATTCCGTTGCATCTCTCCTATACATATAGTTTCTGCTTTATTTACCTTTGTTAGTCTTCATTTATTGTATCTTCTAAGAGTGTCCTTTTCATGTATTCCAGATCGGTTTGGTCTTGTACCATCACTATCTGATCGTCTGCAAAGTATCGTGTATATACGGTTTATTGTTGTTTAGTGAAATTCTTATTCCTTCACATTTACTTTTACATACCTTCAACCTGCAATTCCTGTTAAAGAGTCAGCAAAAAAATCTTTACAAAGTGAATAAAACCAAAAAATCAGGATTTATACGTTTTATTCATAGAATTATTAATTTAATTTTACAAATTAATACTTTTTCATATATCACCCTTTTAGTCGATGACAAGCTGCATTCTATTGGACAATTTATGCTGTCGGTCGACTCTCATTAATCTAATTTTTCATAATATTCCAAGCGTGTCGATGGGATTAAGGTCGGTCGAGTTAACCGGTCATTTCAATACGTTGATATTGTGATCATTCAAGAACTTTGTCACTGTCTTGGCGCTGTGAACAGAGGTACCATCTGCATAAAGAAGTCACAATCGTGTATTTCCCAAAAGTTAAATAAATGTTGTTTTAGAACAGTCACGTAGTTGCTTGTCGACATTGGAACATTTTTAGGCAACAAATACAACCCTGCCCTTCCTTTATTTCCACCAAACGCACCACATACCCTTATACTTTCAGGATGTTTCATGGGTTTAATTGAGAAATTTGGATCATACCTTGACGCGATGAGTGGACGACGAAGAAATTTGGAGCTTCCTGTTACTAACCTGAACGTAATTTCATCACTGAACATGTCCTTTTTCCACAGTTGTCCAATGCTGATACTTTCTTCATTGCTTTTGTAAGCAAAGGCTTCTTTACAGCACGTCGACTTGGCAATGCTAGATCATTCTGTAGCAGGTGACGAATCGTTCTTGTTGAAACGTTCTGAGGAGATACGAATTAATTATTTTGAGTTCCATGGCATTTATGGAAGGGTATAACATTACAGCACGCCTGATGATGGTGTCAGTCCTAGAAGATGTTTTTTTAGGAGCTCCAGAACCAAGTTTCCTTTCCGGAACAGTATCTGAAGGCAACGACGCAGCAAATCGTTTCAAATGATAAATTGCAGATTTATCTATGGTAATTAAAGAGACCCCTTTCTCAAGTAACGTTAAAGCGCGAACTTTACTCAGTAAGTGAGAAGAAGTTTAAAAAGTGTTGGTGAGATGCAACAACCTTATTTGAGGTCTTTAAATTTGATATCTCAAACTTTACTCAGTAAGTGAAAAGAAGTTTAAAAAGTGTTGGTGAGATGCAACAACCTTATTTGAGGTCTTTGATTACCATGATTTTTTCTGAGAGTTTATTCTCTATTTTTACTTGAGCCTGTGTGTTATTATATACCTAATTTTTTAATTGCCTTTAATAATATTTGTGGTTAACGTTGCTTAATTCTAAGGCTTCCTAGAGTCACTAAAGGGGGAAACTATCGCACGCTTTTTTGAGGCCGACGTATAGTAAATGTATATCTTGGTTTCTAGCGATTTTCTTTTTTATTAGTTGCGTGATGTAAAATAAGAAGTCTATCTTCCGGTTCTAAAATATCAAATATCATGATAATGATGATCTTATAGAAATATTAATTAAAATTGTCTAACTCAAATTGTATATAATGATTATGCATTTTATTATCTAAAACAATATTTTTTATCACAAGGGTTACATGAATTCCTTTTTATATCAACGATCTTAATGCATTAGGTGTTTTAAATATTTTTGTAATATATTTGCTACTAGCTGTTTATATATCACATGTTTAAAGTACATTAGTCTGTATCTAAACTGTGTAATTTGACATATTTATTGTAAGTGCAAGGATTATAAAATGTATAACCGTTGTCTGTATAAAACAAATTTTCAATAATCTAAAAACTAGAGGCCTTACTTCGCTTATGGACTCTGACTTGTTTGAACATGCCATAATAGATTTCAAATCCGAATGTAAATATCCACAAAATTACACAATTTCACGATCACAATAAAAAATTACATCACGTGTTGAAAAAATAAACCGAACTAATATGTTTATTTGTGCAAAAATTCCGTTGAACTGTCAACAACTATAGCTATTTTACTTAAGATAACAGTTATCTTTATCTTATCCGCCATTGTCAATTATATTTTGTTTATAATTATATCAGGTAGTCGCAAGGTAACCTTTAGATAACGGAAAACATTCTTTTGTCGTTATAACAAGGAACCATTCGAGCGCTTGTAGACTTGTGTACACATAGGTAATTATCTATGTGAATAACATCGGCTTCAAATAATCAATTTTTAGAAAACGGATAAATTATGACTACGTATCCGTCTAGTTGTTTTCCATGTTTTTTAGATGTTTTCCAGAACTACGACTGAAGCATTACTAAGAGTAATGAACACACGCCCTGATCTGGTCAATACTATCAAAATTAAAAAGACGTCATATCTAGGACACATAATGCGCCATAGGTAATTTGAGCAGCTCCAGGTAATATTAGAAGGCAAGATTGAAGGTAAAAGTGGCATAGGAAGAAAGAAAAAATCTTGGCTACGAAACATCAGAGATTGGACCCACACAATTAATTCATCAAGCCCAGAACAGAGAGAAATTTGCCATATTGATCGCCAACCTCAACAGAGAAGGCACTTAGGAGGAGGATATTTTCCAATGTGCTGGTACTTGATATTCTGTCGCTAAAAGTTATATCTGCGTCTTCACGTTTTGTTTTCACACACCACTCTAAAGATTTTACTCGTTTTTTATTTTGAAGAAAGTATAAGACGCTGAGAGTCCCGGTTCTCATAGTGGATCAGAGGCATTATCCCCACCAAATTCCAGGAACCCTTTGAAAGAAAGCAACTCTGTGAACCATAACAAAATACTTATCCCACTAAATTGAGATTCGAAAATGAAAATATGTTCGCATTTTGCGCTCATTCTCTGTTTTAATTTATTTTATAGTGCATTCTCGTCCATTTGAAGATGATATTATCAACAATGTCCAAATGTATGTCAATCAGATATGATACACCATTTTGCTAAATTTGCCATAGTAGGTATATATTTCAATTTCCAGATCAAAATCCACATCTAAAAAATTCATTGTACTCTCAACATTAGAGGCCTATCAATAATATAGACAACATTAATCAAAAATAAAGTAAACATATATTAACAATAATTGTCAGTTTAATAATCAGTGATCGTTATTATATTCATTCTTGCGTTTTTATATTATAAGATATTCAAATTCAATACAGTTTAAAAGATAATACAGTTTAAATTATTTAAATTCCTCAGATTTCAGTGCCAACTATACTTCATTAAACTGGTGAACAATCTGAAATCGTTTCTAAATGAAACATCAAAGAACTCGCAGATCATTATAAATTATTTATATACTTTTTCCTCCGTGTAAATAAGCATCAGCTAAATCATAGTTTAACAAATATGATGTCTGTAACGGGCATATTTTCTAATATCTCTTCATTGCGTTATTTTATTGCATATGATCCAGAAATTACATTAAAATGAATTTTTACACACTATAAACCCTTTTCTCATTTGATAAGAACTAATGAATCAGAGGATGAGTTTAGCAGTTGAACAACAGGATTTTCGTACTAAAAGATCATCTTCAAATGCAAGATTCGTCATAAAGAAAATTCCTGAGAAACCACTAGAGTATTTCTGTATCTTATTCACTTAAAGAAAGCATTTGACAGAGTAAGACTCAAATATGTAATCCATCTTTGGAAACTATTGAAAACATCTATGGATAGGCTTATGCAAATGACGTCAAATTTCAATTAGGTTTTAACATTTGTGAAGCAAACAATGCAGAATTCAAATCGAGAACCAATGAATCTGTTTATTTCCCAAGAACATGGAATAATTTTTTGCATCTTTGCGCAACAATTTGTTCGTTTTTTTGCAGTGTAAACTTCTTCGCAAATTTCCTGGCCGTCCAACACCAACAGGACAAACAAGAGACTGGAACAACACAAAATGTTTCCAAGGCTGGCCGGCTATGAAGCCTAATGAAAATATCGCTGTTGTTGCTCACGATGATGACAAGGAACCCGAAACATTGACAAGACGACGACAGAATTTTGGTGAAAGATTTGAAGATGTTTTCTTACAAAGTGCAATGATGCTCATTTCCATCTTAATGATTACGTGAACAATATTATCGTTTCTGGGCACCAAAAATCCGTGCAACCGTTCTAGACTTCTTTTTATTTTTTAGTTTACGTTAACAAGCCTCAGACTCTTGAAACCCTTAAGGAGAATATTCAGGAGGATTGCGAGAACCTGTGCCCCAAGTTCTGGCAAAAGTGATGGAAAATGCTATAAAACGGCCCCGTATGGTCATCAACTCTTTGTCGATATTATTTCTTTATCTTGATAGAATAAATTTTAATGGATTAAATAAACAAATTTCATAAGCATAACCAAAGTTTTTCATTAAAAAAAAATTACAGCAAAAGAACATCGGGTGATTACTTTTGCTCCACCTTGTATTATTAACTTAGACTACTGATACAATATTTCAATCCTGATATTGATGATGAGAGCCTTGAGGTAAAAACGAGAACGAAAATTAAAAGATTATACGATTTGTTTAACAGTAAGCGTTTGTACGAGGCTTGTTCAATTGAAACCCATCTTTGACCCAGAAAAAGTTTATTGGCAAATATATGTCTACAATTAATTATCACTACAATTAAGGCAAATATGCCGTTGTTTCACCAGCCTGATTAAAGAATTCTTGTAACTGTTGCCTGAAGAATTCTTTTACGACATTTTGTATGTCTTCGTCTGACTGAAAACGATTACATTTTATTGCTTTTTTCAGGTTCCCAAAGACGTGAAATTTACACGGCGTTAAATCGGGACTATAGGGTGGAAGCCATAGAAGATCATAGATTTTCTTTTACTATTTTGGCAACACTAGGCCGAATATTGTAGTGCAGAAGAATGACACCACGTGAGAGTTTCCCTGGAAGTTATATTTTAAAAATGCATATTTTTTGCGTTATAAGGCAATAAAACTAAAGTTTAGTAAATGTATTTTTTGGAAAATTTGCTAGCTGACTTATGCTCACTCTGTAGTTAATTTACCATATTTCGGTGAAGCATAAGCCACTTTAGAAGAATGATAAGCGAATGATGAGAGAGTAGCTCGAAATAGCTGCTATTTAAGAGAAGACAGTAAATTAGATTAGACATAAGATTGAAAATATCACTGTTGACAGTGATTAAAAAGTGATTAAGAAAGAAAATAACTCAGTAATTTCAAGACAAGGAAAATGGACCTTGTCCTAAAGGCAAGAGCCTAAGAGATCTAAAATGGACCTGACAATAGCAGGTTATTGCTGAAATCGCATTATTTTTTATTCCGTCCGTCTGTATTTCTGTGCGATAACTCTTAAAGGGAAAGTTTAGAATTTTGAAACTTGGTATAAAGGTTCCTCCTGGCCCATCTGGAATTTGGGGCAAAACACAAAAGGTAGAGAATTTGTAAAAAAGTCACGTCCAATATTGTCGAATTTTATCAGATTCACAGACCTGTAAATTGTTAGTATTCCGCAGGTTAACACAAGTTGTTTGAATTTAATTGGCCACCAGGTCCTTCGATACTGCATGATTGGTTATTATTTTTTAATAATTTGGTGTAAATCATACGGCGTATGTAGCTCAAGGTTTTTTTACATTTCTATATTGAGTCTTCTAATTACCAAGTGTAAACTAAGATGAGGAAATCAATTAATTGTAATAGTTCTAGTTAACACTAGGTAAACAAAAGATTCAGTATCAAAATATTTCGTTTTTATTTTTTTTTGTTTAAAACCCCACAATCTATATATTATCACTAACGAAAAGAATATACCAAATTTTAAAAATCTAATAAATTATATTAAAAAATAAACTTCACCAGGATATTAGCCATTACCTAATTCTGATATCACATGTCACTAACGCTTTGATTTATTTGCAAAAAAACCAACGAACAGAACATACTATAATAATTATTTCAATTCTTGTAAAACCAACAACTAACTTCTCACGAAATTAAAAGAACTATTAATATATTGCTGTGGGATAATATCATAAATTGATCTTCCCAACGAACTAGTATGGTTAATTAAAACAAACACACCACCTATATGAGAATATCCCTTATATGGGGGTATGTCAATTATACAGTCATATAAACGAAAAATAAAATTTTCCCACTGAAGGAATAGGAAGTCATCCATCCCACTCGGAAACAGCATTCTTTTGTTTTCACATGAGTTTAAGAACCTTGTTATGATTTAAACCGGAGAGATAAACATACCTGCTCACAGGCCTGTCAATACATAAACAGACGAAAGAGTTGTGGAAATAAAGTCACTGGAGATAAAATAAATCCACATAATGTTTAAAAGATATTATATCGTTATTTAAAGCGTCGACTGCTAAAACAACAAATACCAGGAGTTAAATAAATGCGAGATCAATTTTAAAATTATTAAAACAGTTTACGTTTAGAGAATGTACATTGTACATATAACGAGAAAACTAGCAAACAAGTGGTGCAATTCAAATTATGGCCCCACATAGTTGTGTACTATATATATCTATATAATAATAATACTGTTGTGGCGAAGCTTAATCACCTGTTGTATATGGATGATTTGAAATTAATGGCTTCCACTCGAAACCACCTAGATTAGATGCTAAAAACTGTAAAAACTTTCTCAAATGATATTATTATGCACTTTGGACTAGACAAGTTTCGTATACTAAATATAGTCAGAAGAAAGGTTCAGTCCGGAGGTTTCGATATGCAAGATGGCCAAAACATCGAGGCAATGAGTGAAAATGATATGTACAAATATCTGGGAGTACAGTAAGCGCAAAACATTGACCATAAACTAATGAAAACCGAATTAACTTCTGAGTTTGTGCGAAGAGTAAGACAGCTTAATGGGTCATATCTTAATAGTAAAAATTTGTTTGAGGCATTAAATATGTACGCCTGTTCCGCGCTTAGCTACTCATTTGGTATTATCAAGTGGTCAAA